ATTGGTCAGGAATGCAGAATTGCATGGGGTGCAGTTTGACTCAGCCCCAGAACAGAGTTTCTACACACCCGGGTGCACCTGGTCTCTGGAGGGCTGGAAGTAGCTATAAGGTCAACCATCAAACCCTGAGCTGCATAAAAAGTCTTCCCTAGGGAAACAGCAGCAAAGCAGCAATTTAGCTCAACCACAGAGCTCAAGTACTGGTTCCCACAGGAAGTTCCCCCATTTTAAAAGTAAGCAAAGGACAAAAAATTAGTTCTGGCCCAGGCACACCACTAGCACCTTGGGACCCACCAGGGGACCTGAAGTCTGGAGTCGGGGACCAGACCCCCCACCCACATCCAGGCACACCACCAGCATCTCGGAGACCTACCCAGGGGCCCAGGGCATTGAGCCAGGGACCGGATCCCCCTCCCACAACCAGGCACACCACCAGCACCAAAAACATCACCTCCATTTGGGTGGTCCACCACAGGCACCACAGTAACCACAGCTGCCGCGAAAGTGGGTAGACTTCACAACCACCACGCAACTGGTCCACCAGCCACTGGAGTTCATTGACACAAAGAGAGTCACCAGCAGAGACCAAAGAAAAGGATAGGATGTCTCTCTCCACAAAGCCCATTCCAGAGTGACAGAAGAAGCATCTGCTCTTTGATAATATTGGGGGACCTGAACACACCTTTCGGCTTTGGAAAGATCATCTAGGCAATAAATCAGGGTAACCATTACTCTTTCAGAGGGAGAGAAGAAATCTAGTGTTATCAGTGGTGGTAGGGGGGAGAAAGGGGAGATTGGGAGAGATTGGACAAAGGGCATAAAGAATAAGTACAATTTATAACAATATACATACTAGTAATATTGATTTTATCAACATAGTCCACATTGAAACCCAAAAATATGTATAATCAATTATGATTCAATAAATAAATAAATAAAAGAATCTGACTTCCACTTTATTTACTGGATTGTGTCCCTAGAAAGCTGTAGGCCTGGCATAATGTGACACTGGCCCTGAAAATTTGAATCATCTCCTGTTATCAAACAAACCCAAGTTCTACTAAAGAGATTTGTGGGACTTCTATTGGTCTTCTACCTTGATGGAGGAGAATAAAGAGCAGGTGGTAAGAGACCAACATCTGTGAAGCTGAGTAGCAGCATAGCACCGTAACCTTCTTAAGGGTAGTGTAATTCTCTTGGGTCTTTCTCACTTGCATATCTTATTCTTATCCTGAAAACTTGAAGACTGTCCTTACCAAGGCAATCTTTTCTGCTGTCCCCTAATATTTACTTCTCATCCTAGTGGGGAACATGTTCTCAGTCTACTGTGAATATGCTATATTCAAACCTGCCTTTCTGACTTCCTTATGAATATTTTCCCCCTTGCTGACCCAAATCCTATTCAGTTTTCAGGGTCTAGCTCAATAATCTCAACTCCAGCCCTTACTGAACTCCTACAGTACTTGGTCTGTGCCACATACTTTACCATCTAAATCAGGTTCCACCTTTAAGTGCCCATCTCATACTATACTTCCTCCCCAGCTGAACTAAAAGACTGCTGGAGCCTGGAACCACTTATTCTCCTCTACCTGGTATATGAGAAAAGCCTATACTTTGCGTGAGACAGAATTGGGCTCAATTCCGTGGAGTATAATGGGCTGAGCCTTATGACTTAATGGCTAAGAGCCCAGGTTCTGCAGCCAGGTAGTGTGAGTTCACATCACAACTCTATCACTTACCAGCTCTGGCCCAGTTTCCCTGTTTGTAAAATGGAGATGATATTGATAATAGTCTTTATCTCATGAGGCTATTGTGTGTATTAAATTAGTACATATAAAGTGATAACCTAGTTATTTGCTAGCTACCAGGTACTTTAAATGCTTTACATGCGTTTCCTCAAATAACATTAATAATGCTAAATGCTTACTAGCTTGTAGCTTTAGGCTATCTGTCAACACTGAGTAGGATTCCTAATCTACAAAATGGTAGCAATCATAACTGTGGAAGTGATTAAATGACACGGTATATATAAACGTTTGGCTCAAGACCTGGTACATTGGATTAGGAATGCCAACAATAAAGTAAAATTTTGATTTTCTTTTTTAGTATGTATTGATCTTATTATATTTCTGTGTAATTCTTTTTTTTTTTTTTCCTTTTTGTCTTTTTTCGTGACCGGCAACGGATCGCAACCCTCAGTGTCGCGCCCGTACCGGACCGGGACCGGCAATGGGATCGCAACCTTTGGTGTTGCCCCCACGCCTCACTCAGCCAGTGAGCGGCCGGTCTGCATGTGGGATCCGAACCCTTGGCGGGAGCGCCTGCTGCACTTCCCAAGCGGCGCACTGTAGCAGTGCACCACCGGGCCGGCCCTATTTCTGTGTAATTCTACTTGGCACCCCATAAAGAAAAAGGCCAAGCTTAAAGATGGTACTAGCCATGCTGACTGGTAGTCTTTAGAGAAACTTTATTGGAAAGAACATGCAGCAGTTCCTCCTGTAAACTGGAGGAGCTCTTCTAAATGTAATTACCCTAGAGCAGGGCCTCATAACCCTTGCTTCAAATCAGAATTCCATGTGGAATGCCAGACCCCATTCTTGAAGATCCTGATCCAATAGATACAAAGGATCTGCCTCTTTAAAACTACTTAATAATTCTCATGCACAATCAGGGTTAAGAACCACTTCTCCAAGATTTAAATATGACATCAAAAATTGACAAACCTCTCTTTCCCATCTTGCAAGATGACAGGTGAAAAAGCTAAGGAGCCGGATACTAAGGAGAAGAAACCTGAAGCCAAGAAGGCTGATGGTGGTGGCAAGGTTAAAAAGGCTAACATCAAGGCTAAAAAGCCCAAGAAGGGGAAGCCCCACTGCAGCCGAAACCCTGTCCTCGTTAGAGGAATTGGCAGATATTCCCGATCTGCTATGTATTCCAGAAAGGCCATGTACAAGAGGAAATACTCAGCGCCGGGTTCGGATCCCATATAGGGATGGCCAGTTAGCTCATCTGCTGTACGGCCAAGGCGGATTCCTCACAAATTGGTGTTCTAAATTTCTTACCAAGAACCAAATTAAATAACTGATATATTTAAAATTCCTCACAAATTGGTGTTCTAAATTTCTTACCAAGAACCAAATTAAATAACTGATATATTTTTTTAAAAAATTGACAAACCTCTGAGATACCATAAAAGATATGGTGGAAGGAGAGAATTCAGTAGCTTGAACAGAATGTTAATTCACATCACTTGACTGAAAGGTACTGTGCTTTTCCTCTCCTCAAACTTTAGCTATTTGCCTTATTTTGCCTTACAGAAGGATTGTTTTCCTCTTCAAGTAACACTGCCCTTCAGATTCTTTAGAGACACTGCTTCAAGAATAAGGTAGGTCTCAAGATCCTTTAGACTAGGTTTAAGTGTCAAGATAGTATCAAGGTTGGAATACTCTACTTGCCAAATCTAACGTATTAAACCAAATGGCCTCCATTATACTCTTAGCTGAATATCCCATGTACGGAGGCTATCGATAATCAGATGAATGATTGAACATTGCCAATTCTCGCTGCCTATTCTGAAGCAGTCTTTGTTTATTAAGACCAGCTTTATCAGTCTGGTCAACTTTATACTTTTCCAGGCTGCTGACTAAAATAAGAGCTTGGGGTTGTCTGAAGACTACATTTGGGTATTGAAGCTCTTCTTCCCTTACCTTTCAGAACCTAAAGATAATAGTATACAATATTGGATTATACTGCAGCCTTTATTTTCCAGAGAGCCAATTCACTTTATAATGTGTTTATGGCTCTAATATAATCATTAATATGCAGTGAAACACACCCTGACTTGTGTTCTTGAAAGTTACCTGAGTCTAAATTCCTGGATTTAATCACCAAAATGTCCTCAGGAAAACTTGACATTTGACAGTCTAGCTCTATGCTCTTTGTCCATGCCCTAGGCATGATGCAAAGCAGAACTGAAATGGGCTACTCTAAGACTATTTTCTATCCCTACTGCTTATGCCAGTCTGCCTTTATCTCAAACCACCTCCCTCCCCACCTTCAAGCTATACGGTCCCTGTCTTGCAGAAATCTCAGCTATAGCTGTTGCCTGGAAACTTGGGAGCCTTGAAATGAATATCCGCTAGGATAGCTAAAGACAGCTAGCTATAGGGGAAAATAGACCTCCTATTGGCAGTAAAATGCGGCAGATTTGAGATAGATTCTTGGTTCACTTCTAGAAGTCTTCATATCTTTTTTGTGTGTGTGTGTGACCGGTAAGGGGATCGTAACCCTTGGCTTGGTGTCGCTCGCACCGCACTCAGCCAGTGAGCACACCAGCCATCCCTATATAGGATCCTCGGCACTCCCAGCACCACACTCTCCCGAGTGAGCCACGGGGCCAGCCTGAAGTCTTCATATCTTAATACATACAACTGTAGAGATTTCAGTGTGGTGTTCTCAGGTAATTATAAAGTAGCCTGTATAATAAACATTGTACAGTCCATTCTTCTGATTCCTTCTCCCCAAAAGTGGTTATACTGACATATCTGACAATTAGCATCCTTCCCTGGTAAAGAGCCTAATTTAGGTAAGTTGGAGAAGGGATGGAAAGGAGGAATATTGAATAGTAAAGGAACCAGCTGCCCAAGCCTTTCTTCCTCCAACACTCAAGCTCACAGTGTTAAACGTCATCTTACCCCAGGACTGAGTTTTCCAAGGATTTCTCCCTGTTTAATACTCTATTTGGGAGCTAAGAACTCCATTTAAAACAACCTATCGGACTAAAAATATGTACAAATGTGAATTTTCAGTCTTCAATTTCCACTACTACCGGCTAGGTTATTGCTTTGCTTATTCAAAACTTTCATAGGTAAGACTCGAGATACCCATATCTTTCACATCACTTTTATTCTGAGAATAGAAAATAGGCCTATGTCAAGACTACCTGATCCTAAATGTCAATCTTTTCTTTGCCAACCCCTGGTTCCTGCCATTTAGGCCTCATGGAGCCAGAAGCCTTAAACATATGTCCTTATGACTCAAATCACAGGATGCCAGCCAGCAGGTTACAGTACCACCTGGCATCATGCAAAAAGGTAAGTTTTCCTAATAATAACTAAATCACTTGAGGGAGAAAATAAGCTAATGTGAACAGTTTTTCTTTAAAAAAAAACAAGCTTCTGACCATGTGTAACACCTGGTTGTTCTTAATGTTGGAACGTGGTATCTCTTCAGCACTTCCAGAAAGGAGTGGAGAATACAGACAAAACCTAGTAAGAATGTTTTCCTTCTAGAAAAATCCAAAGATAGCTAAAAAGATGGCTAACTACAAATATAATGCTTGTCATGTGGTCCCAATCAAAAGGCTCGAGGAACATAAGGCTAGCAGCTGCTGCTGCTGCTGTTAGTGCCCCTGGGACCCTCTGCAAGGCCACCGCCATCACCGGACCTGTAAGCTACCAAACCTGTAAGCCGCTGCTGCTGAGGAAGCTGAGGACTGAGGTCGTGTCGTCTGCCAACAGCTCCTGAAATCTTTCCCAATTACCTAGCATGGACCTGCATGTGAGGGATCTGGTGACCCAGTCTGTACAATGGGTTTGAAGGGTCTGAGGCCTAGCTCTGACAATATAAATGGAAACTTAGTATAACTAAAATAATGAAACATTTTGGCTTTAGTTATGATTTGCCTTACTAACACACATCATACTCCTTCCTTTGTTCTTAAGGCTCTTGTTCCAAAAATGCTGGTTTGTGAAAGGTAAGATAAACCATCTTTCCATTGCCAGAATAGAGAACAAAATACCTTTATAGCTGGACTTTTAAAGTGAGGTGGCCATTAGGTCATAGGCATGGCAGATGCCTAAGCTTCAATTAAAAACTTAAAAGATCTGTGTTGGGGGCCGGCCCGTGGCTCACTCGGGAGAGTGCGGTGCTGATAACACCAAGGCCCCGGGTTCGGATCCCATATAGGGATGGCCAGTTAGCTCATTAGGTGAGCGCGGTGCTGACAACACCAAGTCAAGGGTTAAGATCCCCTTACCGGTCATCTTTTAAAAAAAAAAAAAAAAGATCTGTGTTGGTGGGCTCGGAGTACTTCCATTACTTCTCAGTGGAAGTCACTTGGGACTGAATTCCATCAAGGACTTGCATACACAACGTTCTTAGTTCTGCATGAGATTTTCAAAGAATAAAAGACCAATTCCTAAGACAGAAGGAGAAAGAATAAGCATACTATACATGAACCAAGTCAGGATCCCCAACCAAACAAGCTTGAAGGGAACATCCAAGAGTTACAGGAGCCATTAATGGGGTTACCCACCACATTGGGTAGGGAAGGTGCAAGGGAACTAAACAAAACAGAAGTTAGCAAAAAGTCAGTGATTCCTACTCTGACACTTAATCAAACATAGAAGATATTGCTAACTTTAATATCCTAGAGTTGGTTGTCTAGACTAATTCGCCAGTTCTGGTTTTCAAATGACTTTTCTCTTACAGTCATCTCCTATAGTGATTCAAGAAACATAAAAAAAAAAAAAAAAAAAAAAAAAAAAAAAAAAAAAAGAGGCTCTGGATAATAAACATCCTAACAATCATAAGACCTGCAGAAAAGGTAAAACAACTTTTTTAAACGAATATCATGGTTTTAACTAATATCACTAATGTGTTCTAAATCTTCAAAGATTTAGACAAGCTTTTCTTCTTAAACTGTATTTTCTTTTTTTTTTTTTTTTCCACTGGTAAGGGGATCACAACCCTCAGCAAGGTGTGGTCTGCACCACGCTCAGCCAGTGAGCACACCAGCCATCCCTATATAGGATCCAAACCCATGGCCTCAGCGCTACCAGTGCCATACTCTCCTGAGTGAGCCACAGGGCTGGCCCTTAAACTGTATTTTCTATTACAATCCCTCCATCACCCACAATAAAACACAGGAAAAGCCCTGATAGCTTTAAATCAGACTTTGAAGAAAGGGCTGTCTAGGGCTCTATTTGAAATGCTACTAACACATGTCAAGCTTAGGTCTTCCATAAAAACACTCGCTATCAAAATGACACTACCTCAATCTTTTTCTCCCCACAGGTCAGAAAATTGAGGGAGAAGTTTTAGATTAAAGAGACAGCAGACATAAGGTTTAAGTCTCTTTTTAAACTTTGGGGAAATCTTAACTGTCAAGTTTTATGAAAAATTCTTGTCATTGTTGGCATCTTAACAAGTTTTCATTTATTTAAATAAAGAATATTTTTCCTATGAAAACTTCATTTGTTTTATTTTTTTTTTTATTCTTCCTGTTTTCATATTCTCATTCGTCAACCAAAAGGCTATAGGGCTTATTTGCCTATTTCCCTTATTAGTAGGGGAAATACATTCAGCATGGGGTTACAAAGCTATTCCATAATTAGATTCTTTATCCTCCAATTTTTTTTCTCCATCACTTACAATATGACCATCTGCTGTGGATTGATGTCCCCCCAAAGCTTAGTCCTCACTGTGACAGTGTAAAGAGGGTGGGAAATTCCGTCACGATAATTGAAAGGTGGGGCGGCCTTGAAGAAGTGATTGGACTGTAGGACCATAACGTAGCAAATGGATTAATAATAGTGGTCAGGAGCATGGTTCTGAGGGCTTTAAAAGGAGAGTATGTGAGAGTCTCTCTCTGCTCTGCCATTTTCTGCCATGTGAGACCCCTGCATTGCTGTAAAGCTACCACCAAGGAATACCCTCACCAGATGTGTTCCCTGGACTTTGGACTTCAGTTTCTGAAACTGTAAGCAATAAACTTTATTATTTTGCAAATTACCCAATTCTGTGTATTTTGAAACAGACTAATACACCATCAGATCAACCTTCTTTAATCACCTCTCTATATAAATCTTCCATGCTTAAAGGATATAGTTTTTATGAGAAGCTGAGCTTGGAAAATGGCCTTCCTAACTCTGTAAAAGTCAATTTACTCCCATCTTAAATATGACTTATTATTTTCACTATGTTCATTTTAAAATGTCACCCCTTGCCCTTCAATCAGTTTACTACCATCTTAAATACACCTTATTCTTTTTCACTCAGTTCATTTTAAAATGTCACCCCTTGCCCTTCAACCACTCAAATCCCTGTTCTAGAATTTTTAAAATCCAACTTTTATTCCTCACCTCATTTAAACCTTCCCTGTCTTTTAAATTTAACATGGCAGTTAAATATAGACAACTTTCTCCAACCTCAACCATACCACAAGCCTTCATGAGGGAAGTCAGAATCATGTATTGCTTGGAATTTGCTAAACAACTAGCCCAGTGCTATGCATCTATTAGATATTCAAATACTTGGTGCTTATACTGAACCAAGAACCAATTTATCACAGGCCAAAATCAGTTCCTCTTAAGCTGTAATTTTTTATTGAAGCTAGTTAATCCTTTTAAAATAGTGACACTGGGTTTTTGCTAGTTTAGTGATTGGCTCAGGTGTATTTAGATTTACAATTAAAGGTAGAAGTTACAGTCAAATATTTTCTGCCCTTAGGAGGCTCATTCCTACCTAAGTATTTTCTATATTCTTCTCAAATTATCTTTTTCTTCACTTAAAGCAGAAAATGGCAGGGGAAAAAACTTGGCACTTATTTTTTTTTTTTGTCTTTTGTCTTTTTCCGTGTCCGGCAACGGATCGCAACCCTCAGTGTTGCCCCTGTACCGGACCGGGGACCGGCAATGGGACTGCAACCCTCGGCGCTGCTCCCGCACCTCGCTCAGCCAGTGAGCGGGAACCGGTCTGTATGTGGGATCCGAACCCTCGGGCGGGAGTGCCGCCGCGCTTCCCAAGCGGCGCACTTATCCAGTGCGCCACCGGGCCAGCCCAAAATTTGGCACTTTTAATATTTAGTACATTCTAGTATATTTTGCACAAAGGAGGGCTACTGACTTTCTCCCTTAAATTTACATAATATAAATAAGATTTACTTTCATCTCTTGACTTATGGCTTATACATATTTTCAATTTTTTAAATTACACTTTGGTATATTACTATATTACTATAAAAACAAAAGGATGTTCCCTAGGAGAAAAGGCCCAATATCAGATGTCTTCCTTTATCATATTTTGGATACATAGAATCTTCCCCTAAAAGGCCATGCAGTCTTCAGTAGGGTGACCACATAACTTTTCCTCCAAACCAGAATACTTTTGAGCATGAAAGGGGACACTATCAATAATTATCCTGGGACAACCAGACAAACCAGAATGGCCACCCTAGTTTTAAGAGAAAACGTCTCTTAAAAGGCAATTGTGTCATTCAAAATACGGGTGCCAGAGCTACTCAAATATTTAAGAAGTTTTTAACCCGTTGGAAGAAGGCACAATAGAAGCTAAAATATCACTTTTTTGGCTTCTAACATAACATTTGGTCTAAGCTTCAAGAAAAACCAAATAAACTTGGGGAAAAAGTATTTATTTTTTAAAAAAGAAAAGTTTAAAAGCAATTGCCTCAAAGCCTTTCTAGATTCCCCAAAATCCTAACAATTCCCACATGCTCTCATAACATGTAGTTTGTCTCTATATAACCTTTCATCCTACTTTATTATTACTAAACTATAAGATGCTTTAGGATAGACATGATCTTGATTATGTACTAGTCCTGTGCCCATAAACAATCAAGATTGCTGAATGTGGAGAATCTATACTCTATAGACATGGAGCAAAAAGAGACTCAGTACACTGGGGTAAATATTTCTTTCACAATATATCAACCTTTCCAAAACCTTAGTAATCAGGTTCTCTTCTCCATTTTTGTCCTATTAAAGCAATTTAATTTATGGAATAGGAATAAGACTTTCTACTTACAAAGTTTCTTTCCTAAAATTAGGTTTTAAAGTTTTCACTCTTACAATTATAGTATGAATTGTGGGGGGAAAATTGCTAAGACCTATTATTCATGTCCTGGATACATACCAAAACATATCCCATTGATTCCACATCTTTTTTCTGTGGTTGGTCCACACTTTATGGTCCTTTTTTGTGCAGGCTTTCCAATCAGCTGTGGAAAGTAAAACAGGAAAGGAAAAAAACTTCAAATATTTTAGTCTCTTCTTCCCACATGTTCTCTTACAAGATAGATGATGTCTTACAGTTGCTGCAGCACTTGACATATTATACCCATGTTCTCAAGTCCAATAATCAAGTATCTACCACGTTTATGACACTATTTAAAAACTGTAGAGGCATAGGGCCAGCCCGTGGCTCACTCGGGAGAGTGTGGTGCTGATAACACCAAGGCCACAGGTTCAGATCCCATATAGGGATGGCCGGTTAGCTCACTGGGTGAGCATGGTGCTGACAACACCAAGTCAAGGGTTAAGATCCCCTTACCAGTCATCTTTTGAAAAATAAAATAAAATAAAATAAAATAAAA